TGGAGCGTGGTGACTAGAGCAAGGATGTCGCGGGAGAGGGAGCCCATCAGGTAGCCTCGGAGCTGTTGCTGCTGTGCAAACCAGAGGGATCGCGCAAAGTTCAGTACCTGTTCTTCTTTGCCGCCCTTGGTAATGGTGAGGGTGGCCGGCGGTGCCGGACTCTTTGCGTCGAGATGGTGTTCCATCTGCGCGCCCTTGATCTGGGGTAGGACGATGGCCTTCCAGAGTAGGAAGTTGCCCCTCGTCAGCTTCTCTTGCGGCGGCGATCCGAGGAAGGAGTTGGTGGAGGTTGAGGTGGATGATGACGCAAACGTGGAGGAGGTGTCAGTGGAGAGCGCACCCATGGTGCTGGCCGTCATGGCGGCGATGGTGGTGGACATGGCTACGGTCGCCTGGGTAGCTAGATGCGATCTCTATCCAATCTATCGAGGAAGAGGCTCTGTTACCATGTAAACGTTTGGTGGAAGCGTTGAACCCTTTGCTCGGGCCGCATCTCTGTTTATATCATATGTGTGCTGTGGCTTACAAGAGATCGAGAGAAGATCGATCACGATCGTTACAGGAGATCGGGGAGGTTACAACAGAAGAAGAGATAGAAAGATACAAGTTTTAAACACCTCTCCTACCTCTATACAATATCATCTAACAAAGTGAACTTGATTTGCCTTGGAATGGAAGTTTATAAAACATGAACATAGTGCAGTTTGGAAACCACAAATTAGACTTTCATGCTTTCATCAAGTGCGCAAATGCATGATGTGCGTCCACTGCATCAAACCTTATTCTTTCACGTGAAAGCATCACGACATTGAGATTTGCCAACGAGGTTCACCAACATGGTTGCATCCTCGGAGCATGACTATGGATGCTCATCGCTAATTGACAAACACCTAGCCCAGTAGCCCTCCGCTAATTGTACGTCCAACTATTATATATATAGCAAAACTCATAGACGTAATACTTGACACATATTATCTTGTACCACACAAAGGCATACATTCTTGTGTACGGTTTCCGGGTGACGTTGGCGCTGCTCAACATGCATGAGGCAGACAACCTGCCCCGATAGAGCCAATGATCCGTCCTGAGTCTTGACCCGAGGGAGTGGACGCCGTGGGCTCCGAGAGAAAATACCACCAGCATATCGGATCGAGCATTCAAGTTGCAAGTTGCGAGGAAGGAGGCCATGTGAACACATGGCGAATCGGGACCTTTCCTCCGAATAGGATAGGACAACACCACCAGCGCCAGGACGACGGCGAAGACGACAGCGACGGTGACCACGACGGCGTCGACGACTCATTGGCAGACGAACTGCATCTTCAGTATATCCATCCTGCTACATGTCCACAGGTTGTCAAGTGGAGAAGACTCTTGTCGCTGTAGCAGCTGCAGCCTGCATGGGCACGGCAGTCTACGAGGGCGGCAGCAACAGCCTGGGTCCCAGCTACGTGCATTTTTCTTCCTTTTTTTTTTGGGTCGGGTCCTGCGTGAAGCTCGGCGGGTCGACGGGCAGGCTGGGCAGACGTTGTTTTCAGGTGAGCGCGACCCATGGCTAGACTGGGCCGGTGCATTCCCCGTTTTCGTTTTGAACTTTCATACTGCCCCGCTTTTGTTTAGAATTTTTTTATTTTTAACTTTTAAATTCATGATAGTTTTTATGTTTCTTATTTTTGTAAAAGCATCATGAGTATTTTGTAAATTGTTATTTCTTTTATAAAATGTAAAATTATTTTTAAAATCCGTGAACATTTTTAAGATTTGCGTTTATTTTTTAAATTCATGGATATTTTTAAAACCATGATTTTCTTTGAATTTGGAGAATCTTCTTTTGAAGCCATGAACATTTTCTAAAATTAATGAACTTTCTTGCAATAGCACTAGTTTCAGATGATCCACAAGTCTCAAAATATGGCATCACTAATGTAAATATATACTAAGCCAGCAAAATTCAAGCTGACGAACGATACTCTACAGTTTCTTTATGTTAGTACAGAGAAGTACAACATTTTTCACTCAGAATAAAACAAAGACGAACAACGAAAAAAAGGATCATTATCAACAATTCCTAATTAGGAAATGGGAAAAGGCTTAGCAGACGCATGCCACGGCAGATTCTGAAGTACAGAACAATGTTGCTAAATCAGGTTAGTACACTGACTGACTGACTGACCCTGAAAATAGCTACGTCCAACGGCTCCGGGCTACAAGGCAGGTTGATGATCAGTAGGCATGCAAATTTGCAACCTTTAGGGTACCCCCCACCCTCCTTAGTTCAACCAAAATTTCAAAAATAATGTAAATTTTGAAAGTTAGTTCATTTAGTTGAACTATGGAAGGTCGAAGGTAACCTCAAGGTTCCAAATTTGCATCCCTAATGAGTAATGACCAGAGGGCTCGACTTCCCATAGTGATCAACATATTGAGTTCGAGTCAAATTTATTGTTTCCAATCAGATGTCTTCTTTAAAATATATATTGTGCATCATTGTAATTGGTGTATCTTACAAGTTACAACTCCTAGATATCCAACAAAATATGGCAAAGCATGTCCAATTTTTTTTTCGCAAAATGCAATAAAATAGATAAATTTAATGCTACTCCCTCCCTTGTGGTTCATGAGGCTCACATGTATTCTCCATCATCAATTTGATCAGCGCGCAACCGCTAGCTGGCCCTGGGCATTATTGACCCGCTGTCGGAGGCCATCCTCTGCAGCATCCTGTTTATGCATTTGCGCGCGGAGCCCCTCACTGATCTCCTGATTTCTCTCTAAAAATCATGCTTCACCACGAAGCAACTCCCGATGGAACCGTGCCTCCGCAAGCTTGGCAGCAGCAATATATCGGGCACGGCTCGTTTCTTTTCGAGCCACGCCAAGACGCCCTTTCATCTCAGGCAACTGCTCTCCAGCTGCCTCAGGACAAATTAACACATTCAATAGGCGGGTAGAAGCTCGCCAAATGCGCAAAAAGGTCACAGATTGCAGAGGACTCACAAACACAGTTTGCAAGAGACTGCTCTAGCCGGGAAACCCAGGATCGCTCCGTCTCCACCAAACAGCGAAGCTCGCTAACACGGGCAGCAAGTCCCGACTTTGGGCAAGAGGCAAGTCCCGACTTTGGACAACAGTCAACTATTAAACATCAAGCACATTATGGCATAATATAAGAAAAGTATATTTTTCGTCCCTCAACTCTTGGTGAAGTCTAAATTTAATACCTCAAGTTCGAAACCGGACAACTTGTATCCCCAACTAACGAAACCGGACAAGGTTTGTCCCTGGTCTTGATTTTAACCGGTTTTTGGTGCTAACTGACCCCGGTTTTGACCGGTGCTAACTCAAATTTACGTAATATCTTCCCATACCCGTCACCCATCAGGGTAAATGAGTATCCATGGGTAAAATTACTTGCTACGGGCCTGCGGCTGCCTGGACGGATTGAGATCCAGTGACTTGCTGTGAGCCAGTCACCGTACTTTTCTTCCCTCTCCACACCGTTCGATCGAGGGTCAACGGACAGATCCGCGTGAACAGTACCCCGAGCTACAGTGACTCGTCTACATGAGATTATCCACAGTACCCCGGTCTGCAGTGTCAGCTGCAGTGTTTCACGCTACATCACTCAATCTGAGCCGCCCCCTGCATCCATCGGCTGCCCGCCCGCCAGTTACGCCGTGCCTTGTTGTGGGCAAGGCACTGGATCTCTGTCCTGCCTGGACATGTCTCCGCCACTGAGTACAGAGAAACACAACATTCAGTATCTCTGATCATCTACAACATTCCTCAGGCCTCTGAATTCTCACAAGACACATCGTAGTGAACTTTACAATGCATATATTTTATAGTCTTGCGCAGTTTCAACAATTCCATTCAGACTAAAACAAGGACAAACAAGCAAAAAAAAAAGGAAGAAAAGACAGCATTATCAACAATTCCTAATTAGGAACTGGAAGCTGAAGAGGTATGTTTTAATCACAACCTCTTTGTGCTCGTCTTCTTTTTAACGAGGATGTCCTTTTCTTTTTGTGCTCGTCTTCTTTTTAGAGAGACCCTCGAGATCGGTGACACAACTGAAAAAAGATGAATGTTGATCGGTCCCAAAAAAGAGAAGAAGATGAAAGCTGATCCAGTATATGCGCGCCCCCATAGTTTGATAAATCACAAGTGCGAGCACTGAAAAGGGGTTCACTCGACCCAACAGCCTTAGCTTAAAGGAACTAAAAGGAAGAGAAAGATAGAGGCATCTGGTGCTTTGCCATGATGGAATTGAGTGCTTGGGAATGGCTTTAGCGTTCCAGCTCACTGCACAGCTTATCTATCAGCAGTGACTGACATCGACGATCGACGGTGAGGCACATGGTCGTCTGAAGTTTTGAACCTGGAGCCGCGCTTGCCAACGCTTGGACAGCCACAAAAGTGTATCAATGGTGTCCCGCGATTTATCATTGTCGCAGAAAGCAGCACCATAGCATAGCAGTGCCGATTACGATGTGGTAGCCCAGGATGAGATCTCTCCCTTGCTTTCAGCTGGTTTAGCCGAGAGCCAAAGCTTTGTCCAGGCATCGCATCAGGAGGATGCTTCCTGAATCACACTTGCTAGTAGGAGTACTAGTTGCTGCGTACGAGAGAGGTTGCACGGGGAGGGACAGGGGGATACCAAACCTTTGCCCGGCGTTGTGCTCCACCTCCACCTCCACCTCCACCGAGAAGAGAGCAAGTCCTCCTTGGTGGGGCAACGTTGCCGCCGGCCGACGCACAGACAAATAAGGCCGTCGCAGTCGCCTCGCCTCGCCCCACCTGATGCTGTTGCTTCTCTGCAGCGGCGTCTCCCGAGCCCGATGTCCAACGCCGCCACGGGCGCCGGCCGCAACAACGGCGACGGCGAGCATCCCAATGGCGGTCACCCGCACTACCACCACCGGCAGCGGGAGCACCACTGGCGGCCCCCGCACCCGCACAGCAGCAGGGCGTACCGCTCGGGCGTGCTGCGGTGGGCGATGGCGGTGCTGTTCACGGTGCTGGCCGTGCTAGTCCTGCTGGCGGCCGTCTCCGTGCTGCTGGTGGTGCTGGTGCTGCAGCCCCGGGCGCCGTACCTGGCGGTGCAGACGGCGCGGCTGGGGAACCTGGTGTACGACCAGCAGGGGGTGCTGGACAACGCGGAGCTGGAGCTGGACGTGCGCGCCGCCAACGTCAACGCCCACGCCGCCGTGGCCTTCTCGGAGCTCGAGCTGCGGCTGAGCTTCCACGACATGGTGATCGCCATCCTGCGCGCCGACCCCTTCGTGGTGCCGCCCAGGGGCGAGCGCCCGCTGGGCTACGTGGCGTCCTCGGAGGCGGTGCCGCTCGACGGCGCCGGGCGCGCCGCCATGGAGGGCGCGCTGGACCGCGGCGTGGTGCCGTTCCGGGTGAGCGGGCAGGCGCGGACGCGGTGGAAGGTGGGCGGGCTGGTGGCCGTCAAGTACTGGACGCGGCTGGCATGCCAGATCCGCTTCTTCTGGCCCAACGGCACCGCGCTCGACTTCACCTGCAACTCCAAGTCCAGGTCCCGCTACTGACTCACGTCGCCGCATCGATCGCCGTTAGAAGAGAAGAGCTAGCTCCTCCTCTTTCCCCGGTCCAATCGAATCCAAATCCATGGGATTTCTGGGTGTGGACTTGATCAAGAACAAGACAGCCACTAGCTTTCTTGGCTTTGCTTAGTAATGGAATATATTTTCCTCTTGTATGTACTGCATATATTGGAAAACTAAAGAAATATATTTGTACAATTATTTGGTGACGTGCCTTAAGTTTCACTAGCAAACAAGCCCGTGCGTTGCAACGGGGGAAATTTTTCGCATGTTCGTAGCACAATAAGCACTACTATAGACTCCTCAATGGTTCAATACTTCCATGTTATCTGTTTGAACATAGCGCCCCATCCATGTTGTCGCTTATCCTCCTTCCTATCTTCCTCGACCATGGTCGTCAGGTCCACCTGTCGCAATGCATTCAACGTGATCATGGGACAGAAGTGACATTGAACCACGCCATCGCAAGTCAACGTCTGATAGTTTTAAAATTAATCTCGTTGAGTTGGACGTGACGGCTGCCTTTTCCGAGCTCAACCGACGTTTAGTCCATACACCATCCTTATACACCCATGCAGAGAGAGCCTTGGCTCAGTGGTTGGGTATGTGGTTGTGCAACCCAACGACCCGAGTTCAATTTCCAGAATTGACAGGTGATGCATAGGGGTTTTCCCCTGTTTATTGAGGATCAAGCTTGATATGTGGTGGAACCACTCATCAAGAAATATCTTGATACTCATTTAAAAAAAATTGAGGACCATGTTTATCTTGGTACTCATACTAAAATGGCCATATGCATCCTTAGTTGGTGCAGAGGCCGGGAAATGAAAATCTCCCCATTTTAAAGGTACATACATAGGCTGAAGGCTCCCGCGGCGCGCTCCGCGCGTGCGCCTCGGGAGATCGATCGGCCGCCGCCGTCGTCGCCTCCCCAGCGTCGCCTCCCCCTCGCCGCCGCCGGAGTGCGCCCGCCGGGCGAAGCCCGCGCGGCGCGGGCGGCGGCGGGGCATTCCCTCCTTTCTCTGGCCCTCGTGGCGGCGGCGCGGGCCGTCAGATTGGGGACAAGGGGCGCCTCGTCCGGCTGGTCTCCCGGAGGCGGGGACGGCTGGATCCGGCAGCGACTGGGCTAGGAGGAGGTGGCGCGGTGTGGCGGTGCTGGTGGCAGGGTTTCGGTCGAGGTCGTCTTCGATCTAGATCGGGTTCTCCATCGGGGCGTCGCACGGCGGTGGGATCGGATCGGCGGCAACGTCACCGGTTCGGTGGAGGGCTCCGTTCCAGCCAACCGCGAGATCGGGACGCCATGGCCTCCGGTGAAAATCGCGTCTGACTGCGGTCATGGCGGACGATGGCGGCGTCTCGGACGTCGTTCCCTTCTCGAGGCATCGTCGTTGTAGGCCACGTCAACCTGATCGAAAGGCTCCGGGGGAAACCCTTGATCTGGATCTACCGGATCGGACGATGGCGACGTTTCGATGTCGTTCTCCCTCCTGAGGGCATCGTTTTGGAGCAAGTGTTGGCTGGAGGGGACAAGAGGAGGAGCGGCGTGGCATCTGGCACGTTGACAACGGCGGGTCTCAGCGACATGGAGCAGCGGGGGTCTCGCCGGTGGGCGTGTGATGATGGACGAGTGCAGGATGGTGGCGCTGTCTGGCGTCGTGGTGGCGTCGATGGCAGTGAGGCCTGGCACGGTTCATGCAACAGTTCAGCTCTGAAGATGGATTGATGGTACGTGGCTGCGGCGGCCTCATACCCGGCAGGGGGCCTGGTTGACGAGCACGCCGGACTGGTGGGTGCCCATACCCGGAAGGAGTCCTGGTTGGGACCTCAGGTCTAAGATGTTAGGTTTGGCTGCGAGGTCTGTTTGGTATTAGGCCCAGACCATCAGCGCCCCTTCATCAGTTAGATAGGAGTAGCGACAGAGGTTGCGAAGATGGTGGCTTTGGTCTTACTGTTGTACGACTTTGTAAGGTCTTGTGTTAATAATCAATAAAGTGGCCGTATGCATCGTCCAGATGCAGAGGCCGGGGTATTCCCCCTTTTCGAAAAAAAACCATCCTTATACACCCACTCACTTTTAAATTGTATATAGTGTTTTTCGAAAGGCAACAACCTTCTTTTAAAACACATAAAGAGTTTTAAAATGATGATATAAATATTATTTTAATACGTGAACATTTTTCTTAAAATTACACAAACAATTTTAAAATGCATGATCGATTTTTAAATATTACGTAATATTTTTGTAAAGGCGCAAAAAAGGAAAACACGTGAACACTTTTTATGAAAACAGCACGTATTAATTTGATTTAGAGTGTAGCAAATGATCATTCCTACGGTAGTTTCCGGGGAAATCTTTTACTCGCGTCCATAGACGTAGTTTATTTCCTCGTTTCTTTTAAGCGCGCCCTCTCTTTATTTATTTTTGCCTTAGCTTGTTTATCGTCACAAATCATGTATATGTAAATAGGTGTAACTAATAAACATGCCCGTGCGTTGCAACGGAAGACAAAAAATGTTACACGCTAGCTAAATAAGTATGACTCAATACCCTAAATTATGAGCGTCCTCTATTTTCACACGGTGGCTCACCATGTTTCCACTTATCTTTCTTTCCACCCTCGTTGAGGATGTACGCGATGTCCATGTGATCGCAATGCATTTGACGTGGTAAATCCCAAGGCAACGACCTTGCCACTGCATGTCACACTTGTCATTGTGCCGCGCAAGAGAATGTTTAAAACTTTAAAAACAAATTTCATGGACCACAAACTACTCCTAGCGCCTAGACATAAAAGGACTTTCCAAAAACTACCCAAATCCTAGACATGAAAGACTTTTGAATCGACGAACATTTTTTCTAATCGACAAACATTTGTTTTAAATTTTTGGGCATTTTTTAAATGCATGAACATTTGTTTTGTTCAGACGAACATTTTTTGAAATGCATGAGTAGTTTTCGAATTCATGAACATTTGTTTTGTTCAGACGAACATTTTTTGAAATGCATGCATAGTTTTTGAATTCATGAACAGTTTTTGAGTTAGCAAACCTTTTTTGTATCAATGAACTTTTTTTATAATTGGGGAACAAATTTTTAAAAAGTTGTGACTTTTTTATAATTTGCGAACAGTTTTGTAAATCACCAAAAGAATTAAAACTGCAGAAAATTTATGATTTCTCGCACATTTTTTGAATTCATAAACATTCTATGATTTCTTGAATATTTTTCTCAAAACTTGCAATCTTTTGTAATTTGAAAATCTTGAATTACTTTAAAGAAGGAAAAACAAAAACAGAAATGAGAAAAAAAAAATAGGGGCATCACGCCCCACGGGCTGGCCATGAATACGGTATGTGGGAGGGAGGACGTGCGTGAGAAAAAGGTGAAGGAAAATAGGACGACCCGAGGGATCGAACCTGGGTCTGCGCAGTGGAGTAGATAGGATTCAACCACTGAGCTGCTAAAGAATTTGTGATATATGTGGGATATTACTTTTAAGAAAGACGGTGCGCGACGATGACTCTAAAAAAAATGAATCGTTTTCTTGACTTATGAGTGGCATAGCGAGTAATTTATAGCAACTTTAAGGGTATTTTTTTGACGGACGACAGAAACATTATTTGCTTTATTATTATTATTATTATTATTATTATTATTATTATTATTATTATTATTATTATTATTATTATTATTAAAAATTAAAAATTAGAGAGAAGAGAAGAGATAGAGATTATAAATTATAATTATAAGGTAGAGATTTGGGGAAAATCCTATTTGCCGCTCTTTGCGGCAAACAGTCGGAGTTCCGCACACCCTATCGCCCGAGCGTTCATGGGCGGGCCAGCCTGTTAAGCGTTCCAATCCTACTGGTTTTGGGAACCTTCTATGAATGTTCCAAGCCGGTTTCCGGTTTTGGGAACTTTCTAGAAGGTTTCTGAACCGGTTTTTTCTTTTTGATTTTTCTTTCCTTTTATCGTTTTTTCCCCTTCTTTTTTCTATCTTTTTTTCTTTCTTCTTGCTCCTTTCTTTTGATATTTTTCTATTTTATTTTTACAAAATGTTTAGGATTTTAGTTTTATTTATTTTTTATTTCTTTTTCTTTTCTTCTCTTTTTTTCAAAAAATATCAAAAAATTTAAGTTTTGTTTGTGTTTTAAAAAAATGTTTAGTTTTTGAAAAAATGTTCTCAAAATACAAATTGTTCTTGATACACAAAAAAGTTCAAAACTTTTGAAATTCAGAAAATGTACTAGATTTCAATTTTTTGTTCATATATTCAAAAAATGTTCGCTCTTCCAAATTTGTTCGAGATTTTTCAAATTTGTTCTCTGTTTCAGAATTTGTTCTCTGGTTTTGGAAACCTTCTAGAAGGTTCCTGAACCGTTTTTTATTTTCATTCCTTTTCTTTTTCTTTATTATGTTTCCTTTTTCTTTTCGTTTTTGCTTATTGTTTCTTTTCTTTTTTCTTTTTTCTTTTCCTTTTTCAAAAATGTTCTCTTTTTCAAAAAAGTTCATATTTTCAACAAATGTTCGATTTTCAAAATTGTGTTTGCGTTTTGTTCCGGAGTTTCAGAAAATTGTTTCCGATTTCAAGAAAAATTCACATATTCAAAAAATGTTCACTTTTTAAAATATTATTCGCGTTTTGAAATTTTGTTTGTGAGTTTTAAAACTATTCCTTTTTTTCAATTTTGTTCGGAATTTCAAAAAGTGTTCCCGTATTCAAATTTTGTTCATTGATCCAAAAAATGTTCGTGCTTTTGAATTTTGTTCGGAGTTTCAAAAAATATTCCTGTTTTCATTATTTTTGTTCACAAATTTCAAAAAATGTTCAAGCGGTTCAAAACATGTTCCTGTTTTAAATAAATTGTTTGCAAATTTAAAAAAATGTGCATAGTTTGATTTTTGAGTTTTGAAATTGTTCAGTTTCAAATTTTTGTTCACAAGATTCAAAAAATGTTCGGGTGGTTCAAAACATGTCCCCG